GGGGTAGCTGATGAGCCAGGTTTCAGCAACAATAATTTGTGACTTTTTCCATTTGACCTTCTTTGTTCCAGGTACCGTGCTGGGCATTGGGGCTGCGGGCCATGAGGATGGCCCCGGCCTTCAGGGAGCTCATGATCTAATGGGGGAGACCTGACATGTAATGGGGGGCCCTATGAATGTGGGGAGAGACTGTAAAATGGTGCTGCTGTAAGGGAGATATGGACAAAACCCATGTGGAGAGATGCATCCAGGAGGCCTGGTGAAGAAGTGGAATCTGAGCCAAGCCATCAAGGATAGACAGGGAAAAGTTGATGAAAGAGAGCAATCCAGGTAGCAGACGCAAAGAAATGAAAACAGTGGCCAGAGGACAGTGCAAGGAGGGTAAGGCTGCAAGGCTGGCCTCCACCTGCCCTGTCTTCCTCCAGGGCTGCCATGAGGGTCCAGTGTGTGAGCATTTAGTAAACTGTTACTAGCTATTATAGTACTGGACTTATTCATGTGATGCCCCAAAGCACTTTACAAATAATCAAGAATTATGATTTCAGATAATAGTCCCTGACATTTGTACTGTTATCCCCATTCTACAGATGGGGAAACTGAGGTCTATTGTGGTGGAGTAATTGCCCAAGACCTTGCAGGCAATAAGCAGCACAGAAGCTGAGATAAACCCAGCAGGCCATTTTAGTCTCCGAGAGGGTACACAGGCTGGGAGGAGAGGGTCTGTGTCATATGCTGCCTTGAAAAGATTTGCATGTGGCTCAAGTTGCCAGATTTGGTTGTGCAGGTTGGGCCATGACCAAGGACAACTGGCCTGTGGGCTGCGTGGGCCTGAATCCAGCCCATCTCCACTGACCAACCATGTGCCCAGTCCCCCCTCCCCCCAGGGCGCAGCTTTGTCTCCTTCACACAGAGGGCACTGTGAGTGCTGCTTCTGCCAGCCTTACTGCGAGTGGTGGGGCATTTAACAGCTGGGATACTGACAGGCAGTGTGGAACCAAGTAGTGGCCAGTCAGCATCAATGAGAGTTTTATGTTGTCCTTGAGGGCAGTTTTGTTCATAGGAAAACCAACTGAGGCTGCTGTGGTTTTAAAAACGAATGCTTGCCCAGTCAGTGCGGCTCAGTGGTTGAGCATCGACCCATGAACCAGGCGATCACAGTTTGATTCCCGGTCATGGCACACACCTGGGTTGCAGGCTCAATCCCCAGTAGGGGGCATGCAGGAGGCAGCCAATCAATGATTCTCTCTCATCATTGATGCTTCTATCCCTCTCTCCCTTCCTCTCTGAAATCAATTAAAAATAGTAATAATAAAAATAAAAATGAATGCTTAATAGATCAAAGTAACATTTAAAAACCTAGTAAATTTTAATCAAAACATTTTAAGGGGGATTTTATAACTTAATTGCCCTGAATAATTTAAATTAACTTATAAATAATTTAAAATAAACTAAGCTTAAAATATGAAAACTATTGGATTGTCATAAGTTTCATCATTGTTTACAAAATTTATAGAATTGCCTTATATCTTTCCATTTAAAATCACAAGTCTAAATGATTCCATTGCACATTTTATATTGGAACCACAAAGCTAATCTGTTACATATTCTAATATGCCAAATTATTTTTAAATATTACAAATACTTTCAAACTAACTCTACACGGATTCTTCCTATACATAGTACCAAAAAAAGGTAAAACTAGAGATTTCATTTAATTTACCATTTCTAATATTAATTCTAAACCTTCCCATGACCAGAAACACTCGCTAAAGAAACAAGTTTACTAAGCAAAGCAGTGTAAGGTTATATATCCAAGCAAATTTTGAGTTAGTTTACAACTCGCTAAGCGTACTCACTAAATGCAATGTGGGTGTGACCTAGAGCCACTGCGGCACTCAGGGAAATGTATTCGGTGACTCCGCTGTGGAGCTGGCCCTCCTTTTACTCTCCATGGCATCAGGGGATGCTGAGTCCGTGCCCTGCCAATGGAATAGGTTTTGCAACCCAAGCCCCCAAGATCAAGTCAAGCCCTGGTCACCTTTTTTGTCTCCTGTCTCAGCTTGATCACTCTGCAGGATGATCTCCCCATTCATTACCTAAGAGGGTTCATCTAATCAATTTCCTGCTTGATTCAATTCTGAATTAGGTTTTTACTTTTCCTCTCTGGCCATCCACCAAGCACTAGAAGTATTTTAATCCCACCCTTGGGTTCTGTATGCCTCTGGTGGCCTTGCTGGCTCTCTCCACAAACACTAAGGTCTCACTGATGGTGGCCAGCTGTGTCCATCTGGCCAGAGCAGCTGTGCTCTGTGTCGTGCTGAGCCAAGGAGCCACCCTGGCTTCTCTCCATCCACTTGGATGCTTAAGACATCAAGAGGGACTAGATGATAGGCTGCCTGTGCTGCCGTGTACTCTGCTGCTGAGAGATGTCAGTCTCCTGGAAGCTCAAGATTCTAACCAGTAAGAAGTTTCTGAATCAGGATGGCATGTCCGAATTTTAAAAGTCCAGCCATGTGTAACTTTACTTCTAAGTAAATAGAAGAGTAATTGTAATATTATATAGCAATGTCATGGTACATGATCTCTAATCATCATAAATTTCTAAATAAATATCATTATGTCCAATGAAATAGATGACAAACTTAAGGTCCAGAGAGATGAAACCATAGTGAGCTAAGAAAGTGTTACCAAGTAGAGGTCTTATTGGACCAGCTTTAATGAGCAAGTAAGACATAGTCCTAAAAGGAACTATTAAAATGCTAAAGTGGTTTTAACCTTGAAGACTTCAGTGGCCACAAGGTATAATGAGCACCTACTAAGTGCCAGGCACTATAGGGGAACGAAACCAGGTTCCAGAAGGCAGACTAGGGGTCACGCAGATCCTCGAACTTTCCATATCACTTGCCCTCTCTGGACCTCAGTCTCTCCCTCTAACAAATAAGGGTGATAAAACCCTTCCCGCATACTTAGCAGGGTTGCTGGGTTTCTGCAATGAGTTATGGAGAGCAGTGATTTAGAAAGTGGAATGAACTGTGGGTGGAATGAGCAAGGGCTTGTGACACTGGGTAGTGGCCACTCCTGAGTGGTGACTTTCAGCCCGGCCTGCAAGGAAGGAGTTTGCATTCCAAACCAGACTGGCATGCCTGAGTGGGGCAATGTTTGCCCTTGGTGTCAGTGATGCCACCTGCTCTCCACCATGTGGATGGGTCAAGGGATGGGGTGAGGTAGTGAGGTAGATGAAACAGCCTGTGAGGAGTCTGGTGAGGCTTGGGTTCTTGGCTACAGGGAAATCAGTCCCAGAGCCTTGGAGTAAAAGTGGACAAGGGCCCAGGTAGAGTAGAAGGAGCTGGAAGTGAGATGCAGCAAGGAGAGCAGGTCCTCTCCAGTGCCTGAACGGGGAGTCCCAGCCCGTCATCTAGCAAAGGTGCAGCAATAGCAGTGGCACAGACACTGGGGTACATTGTCCATAGAGAATTTAAAAGCAGTAATAAAACCAGTTAGAGACTGGTCTGCTTATTATTATCACCATGTGCTGGCTGTTCTAAACAATGTCAGTGATAAAAAAAAAACACCTTTCTGTTTGCAAGGGATGGGGGAAGGGAGACATTTCCACTGCCCTCTTTCTTGGCATGTCATAGGCCCCTTGCCCCTCCCCACAGTTAGCCCTTAACAAGGGGCTCAGGAAGAAAAAGGCCATGAGGACAAGGAAAGAGCACGCTGGCCTATAGGGTTGTCTGAGTAGACAGCTAAGAGGGGCTCCCGGGATGGGCCCAGCTATCCTGGAGGAAGGAAGAGCGGCCTCGGTGGAGTGTGAGGTGGACGGGCTGCTGGGCTGCCGCTGGAGGACCCTGCGTCCCATTAGAGCACTGCCGTTTTCACGGGGTGCCATCCTCTGTGCCACGGGCAGGTTATAATCAATTGGCAAACACTGAATGACTGGTTCCCGAACCTGCCCCTCACCCGACCCCACATTCTATACTAAGAGCATGGAAGTCAGATTCTCCTCCTGGCTCTCCAGCAAGAGCTGCCCTGCCCAGGCTCCACAGGCAATCTGTGCTCTGCCCCACCCCTGGCCTGAGCTCTGGCCCTCACAGTGACCACCTCTCTCTTCTCTGCAGGAGCCAGGTCCATCCCACCAGTGACTCACATAAGAATCGAGGTCCTGTAGCCACAGAGCCAGACAAGAAACAAGGTCCGGTGGGGCCTCTGAAAGATCAAGGCCCTGTGATCCAAGAGCCACGGAAGGATCAAGGCCCTGCTGTTCCAAAGTCTCTAAAGGATCAAGCTCCTGCGGTCCCAAGGCCTCTGAAGGATCAAACTCCTGCGGTCCCAAGGCCTCTGAAGGATCAAGCTCCTGGGGTCCCAGGGCCTCTGAAGGATCAAGCTCCTGGGGTCCCAGGGCCTCTGAAGGATCAAGCTCCTGGGGTCCCAGAGCCTCTGAAGGATCAAGCTCCTGGGGTCCCAGGGCCTCTGAAGGATCAAGCTCCTGGGGTCCCAGGGCCTCTGAAGGATCAAGCTCCTGGGGTCCCAGGGCCTCTGAAGGATCAAGCTCCTGGGGTCCCAGGGCCTCTGAAGGATCAAGCTCCTGGGGTCCCAGGGCCTCTGAAGGATCAAGCTCCTGGGGTCCCAGGGCCTCTGAAGGATCAAGCTCCTGGGGTCCCAGGGCCTCTGAAGGATAAAGGTTCCATAGTCACCACAGCAGTTAAGAATCAAGATCACACGGTCCCTGGGCCTTTAAAGAATGAAGGTTCTGGGATCTCAGCACCAGTCAAGGACCAAGGTTCCTTGTTCCCGTTGTCTCTAAATAATCAAAGGGTTCCAGCAAGAGTTAAGGATCAAGGTTCCATGGTACTAGAGACTCCAAAGGATCCAGGTCCTGTGGCCCCAGCACCTGTCAAGGATCAGGGTCCTATGGTCCCAGAGCATCTAAAGGATCGAAGTGCCATGCTCATAGCACCTGTAAAGAAAGAAGGTCCTATGCTCTCTGAGCCTGCAAAGAACCAAGGTTCAGTGGTTCCAGAGCCAGTCAAGGGTCAGGGTGGCGTGGCCCCAGAGCTTCTGAAGGGTCATGATTCTGTAGTTGTAAAGAATCAAGGTTCTATGGTCCCAGAACGAGTCAAGGATCGGGGCACTGTGATCCCCGAGCCCCCAAAGAACCAAGGTCCTGTGGTCCTTGAGCCTGTGAAGAATCCAGTTCCTATCATCTCGGTGCCTCTGAAAGATCAAGATCCTCTAGTGCCACCACCAGCCAAGGACCAAGGTCCTGTGGTCCCTGGACCTCTGAAGACTCAAGGTCCAAGGGGCCCGCAGCTGTCCACTGTCTCACCTCCACCCCCAGTCACGATCCCAACTGTCCCCCATGCAGAATATATTGAGAGCTCCCCTTGACATTCACCCCTTGACACCAAGGAAAGAGGTGGCAGTGAAAGTGCTCCCTCCCCAGGGTAGCAAAGTCTCACATTTAATCTGCATGAAACAGTATTGTATAGTCTTGCTGGAATCTAATAAAACAAATCCCTCTGGCTTAGCCGTGTCTTTCTCTGATTCCATTTGTGTGTGTGCGCGCACATCATGCACATTTTGTTGCTGTTGTTGTTAATCTTCACCCAAGGATATTTTTTCCATTGATTTTTAGAGAGTGGAAGGCAGAGAAAGAGAGAGACATATTGATATGAGGGACACATTGATCGGTTGCCTCCCACACCTGTCCCAACCAGGACCAGGTATCAAACCTACAACCTGGATACATGCTCTTGACCAAGAGTCAACCCGTGTCCCTACAGTGCACAGGCCAACATTCTAACCACTGAGCACACCAGCCATGGCTGTCATTTGAAAGTGGGCATGCAGGACTCTGCATTACCCATCCAGGCAAGAGGAATCTGAGCAATTCCCAGCTCCTTTGAGTTGTCAGCATGAGATGGGAGTGGGTGGGAGATGTTAGGAGATGGAGGATAGGACACTTCTCTCTCACCCTCCTGCTCTTCCCTTCTGACACCTGACGTGTGGGAGCTGGATGTCTCACAAGTTAACTCAACTATCTACCTGGAGATAGTCAGCTCCCACAGGGTAAGGGCATCTCATAATACTGCCCCCACCCCCACACAACACATACACAATTCAGATGCAAACTTTCGAGTCCCAGGTTGTCACTTGTACTTCTGACTGGGTATGATTGGGGTTCTCACACCCCCTACAATTTGCTAGAATGGCTCACAGAAGTCGGAAACACTTACATTACTGGTTTGTCACAAAAGGATAAAGGATGCAGATGAACATCCAGATGGAAGGAAGGGGCGTGGAGCTTCTGTGCTCACAGAAGTTGGAAACACATTACTGGTTTGCCATAAAAGGACAGAGGCTACAGATGAATACCCAGATACGGAGGAAGGGGCATAGAGCTTCCGTGCCCTCTGCAGGCGTGTCACCCTTCCAATAGCTCCAGATACCCAGAAACTCTCCAACCCCCATGCTTTTGGGATTTTATGAACATTTCATCATGTAGGCATGATCAATCATTAACTCAACCTCTTCTCAGAAGATGGGGTGAAGCTGAAAGTTCCAAGCTTCTACTCGTGGCTTCATCTTTCTGCTGAAGCTATCCAGGAGCCCACCAAGAATCACCTCATTAAAACAAAAGCATCACCCAAGAAATTTTAAGTGTTTTAGGAGTTCTATGCCGGGAATCCGGAACAAAGACCAACACATAATGTTTATTTTCCAGGTCAGGTCCCATGAAAGCCTAGAAACCAGTACCAAATCACAGCAGGCTGAGCCCTTGGGTGGGTCAAAGCTGAAGCCTGTAGCGAAAACAGAAGCAGGGTCCCTGCTGGCTCAGGGTCATTCTGGGTAACAGTTGTTTGCCAAAGGCTCGGTCCTAAAGCTCATCCAGATGTCATGCTTCTTGAGAAAACCAGGCCTCTGATCAGAAGGGTCCCAGGACATCTGCTGATTCTCAGTAGCCAGGACAGCTCAGCTGGGGCTTCGAAAACAATACCTCAAGCCCCCCATTCATTCCCACACATAGCAGACTTTTCCTTAGCAACCACTTTGTGTCTTGCTCAGTGCTGATCATTGAAGTCACTGTGGTAAAGGAGTCCCAGTGTTATGACAAGTAAAGGTTGTGTGAGGGCACGGGACAGCTAAAGGCCTGGTTTGAGAAGATACCTGGAGGGAGAAGCCAGGAAAGTTTCTCAGAGAAAGTGGCCATGGAGTTCAGACAGCCCGAGTAGGGGATGGGTAGGGGTGTCACATGTGTGGCTGGAGAACCAGAGTAAGCCCCTCCAGAGGTCCTTGAATGAAAGGAACCTGATTTGCATGGGGGTTTGACCAAGGGATGTAGCAGGTCTCTGGGCAGAAAACTGGGGCCAGGCACAGGTGACCAGTTTTCTGAATCCCAGGACCTCAGGAAGGGAGTGAGGAGGTCAGTCTTGTGAGCTATGAGTGTGTTGCTGGCGGGCCCGGGAAGAAGACTAGGGGCTGCGGAGGGGCTGAAGTTCTGCCTTGAGTAGAGATGTGTCCTGTGAGGATCCCCGTGTCTGGGCCCTGATAGCTTCCCCCTTTAAAACCCCAAACCCTCAGGGACCTGGGGGTGTAGGGGGAGCCCCACCTATTGCCTTCACCAAAGCTGGCTCCCAAGGAACACTCATCCCCCTTGAAGATTTGTATGACCCTTAGGGATACTACCCCCCTTTAAAGGTCGTTGTTAAAGGGCTCCCTTTAAAGGAGCTCAGCTTGATTCTTACAGAGAATCACCACAGGAAGCATTGATGATGTCCAAATTTTTCTGAACAACTGACCCCAGGCCTGTCTCCTCACCCCTCTCCCAACAGAACCAGGAATTTCTGCTCCAGAAGCAACATCTATAACACACACACACACACACACACACACACACACACACACACACTGTGAGGATTCTTCCCGGCCCAACACAGAGCTTGCTGCCCTGTGCGTTGCAATAGGGCCCTGCAGACAAGAAAGGGCCACACTGAGGCTAAAGGAGTCTTGTGTATGGACACCTCCCTCCTTTCAGTCCTCCCTCTGACCCACACACCTGGTCCCATTACATGCACATTCCCACAGGCCAGGCAGATGATGGTGCCATCCCTGAGATGTGTAACATCCTGGGGCAGGTATCCAGGCCATTGCCTGCTAGGTTTCCGCCTCTGAAGAGAGCTGCCTCTGTGTTTATGCGGGGGCGGGGCGGGGAAGATGGTTGGGGGGCTCCTCACTGAAGCCCCGTGTTGGGGAGGGCACACATTGAGCTCCCCCAGGGACAGTGTCTGAATGGAAAGACAAGTGGGCCCAGCTCAAAGCTCTGGAGACTTGTCGGAGGTAGGAAAAGAAGTGCACAAAGGAACTGAGAAGGGCTGCCCTAAACTGTAAGAACCCAGGGGCCTGCGGTGCCAGCAGGGACTCCGTAAGGAGGGTGATGCTCAATGACACAAGCTGAGGGTGCCGATGAGGACCAGGTGGCTGTCAAACATGGCAGCTTCCACTTGGGATAGGGCTGACCTGGATCTCAGCCCAGCAAGTCACCTCAATGACCTCGTTTATCAAAGGGTCCTGGTCCTGACGATTAGAGGAGATCCTAGATGGTGCAGGCAGCCGCCGCATCAGCCTCTCAGCCAGCTTCCTACTGCCCAGAAAGAAGGCCAAGCTTCGGTCCTGGGCTGGGGCGGGGAAAGGCGGGAAATGAACTAGATTCTCCTCACCCTGTCCAGATGCAGACTTCATTCAGGCCTGGTTCTTCCCTGCTGCAGCCATTTCCCAGCCCCTCCTAGCATCCACCATCTCCAGCCCTCCTTCTTGCTGCCCCTCCCCTGGGCGGTTTGGGGAACCCAGATACAGGCCAACAGCGACTCTGCCTGCACCTACGTGGCCCGCCTGGGGGAGGGGAGAGGAAGCTGAGAGGGGGTTGGGGGGTGCGTCTGGGGGGCGGGTCTCTGCAAGGGGAGGTCCTGGTCCTGGTCCAGAGCCTAATCCGAGGGGTTCAGCGTCTGAGCCCCGATCTGAGACTCGGATCCTGAAGATGCCCACACTCTGCACAAGAGCCCCCGAGCCCGGAGTCCTACGGCCGGGCTCCTCCCTGCCGCCCACAGCCCCGCCCGCGGCGGCCCGCGCACTCGCGCACGGCCACGCCCGCAGGCTCACCCCCTGCCCGGTCCCGAACTGCCGGCCTGGGCTCCGGGGTTCTCTTCTGGTGCAGCCTGGCCCCGCGGGGCCCGGGGACAGGGATTGGGCTGTGGGCTGGATGTGCTGGGGGGAGCGACCGAAGCCTTGCGGCCGGCGGACTTGGACCTGGTCGCTGCCACGCCCTCCACCCACCAGCTCTGGAGGCCGGCCTTGGAGACCCCCACTCCCCCCGCCCCCAGGAGCTGGGCTGAGGCCTCGCGGGAGCCCCTGATGGCTGGTCCTGGGAAAGGCCGAGACTTTACTCACAGCGATTCTCTCCCTTAACAGCTACACAAAGGTGGCAAGGCTGATCAGACCTACAGCCGCCGGCAGACCAACAGCTGGACCCTGACTTATCCACCTCCACCCCTGCCCTGTGCCACCCTCCACACCAGCAGCTCCACTCATCCCTGCGCGGTGGGAGCACAGACCTCCTCTCACCACCCTTTCCTGTGCCCCAGGTGGTCGCGGCCCCCACATCCAGGCCTGGCTTCTCACCACCCACTTACACCTGGTTGGGGAGCTGAACTTTGGGGGCCATCTCTGAGCTGCACCTGTACGGGTAGGATGAATTCCCACTTACCTGAGCTATTGTGGGGAGAAAGTGGGACGACACATACAGAGTGTAAGCAGGTTACGCACCTTTATTATTAGTATCTGGCCAGTTCCTCTCCTGCCCTTCCTGTGTGGCGTGGAAGAAGAACAATTACCCAACTGTCTCAGAGCAATTCCCAGGCCCTCAGGCAGATCATTTAACCCCTCAGCCTCAGTTATCTCACCTGTAAAATGGGATAATCTCTATGTAGCCAAGCTGTTAGGAGGCTGGGGTAATAAACATACCAAGTAACCGACATGGTGTTTGGCACATAGAAGCAAAACAGAGAAGTAGTGCCAGCTGCTATTATTAAATCATTATTCCGACCGAGAAATACCTACTCATCCTTCAGGACAGCCCACGTGTCACTTCTCCCTGGGAACCTCCCTTATTCTCCCCATGGCAGTTATGACTTCTGCCTCTGGATTCTCACGTCCCTGGTGACCTTCTACCACAGCCTTTTCATTTACTCAGCAAATAGTGTTTAGTGCCTTATGTGTAGTGTATGCTGACTCTAGGTGTAGGACATACAGTGATGAACAAGAGATGAAGCCGATTCTCATAGTGGAGACAGTCAATGTGTGAATAGGTGGATAACTTCATAGCACGAAGGAGTCAGTAAAATGAGAAAACAGTAGAGAAACTAAGGTGGGGGAGGAGCTGTTTATATTGTGTGGTCAGGGAAGGCCTCATTGAGCAGATGACATTCAAGCT